AGTGTTTCCTGCTGATTTTCCCTGGTCTGCCTCCCCCCAGCCCCCCCAGGTGCTGCTAGTGCCTGACCCCCTTCGCCCCGTCTCTACTCACCATCTGCCACTGCTGCCCCCAGTGCCCCCCAGCACAGCCCCAGGGCGACACCCAGGGCCATGGCTCCTGTGCTGGTCAGGGGTTTCTCCCCCACACTCTGGAGAGGAACAAACCCCACCCCCGCTCCAGCCCCTGGGAATCTGCAGGCCCCCCCACTTGTCACTTTCACTTTCCCAAGTGTTGCCAATCACAAGCCCAGCCGGCCAATCAGAATGCGGGAAGGGATCTTGCTGGCAGTATCTCAGCAGAACCAGGTCTGGGAAGTTTCTCCCCAGAGTTGCAGGCGAAGAGCCATTAACCCTGCAGTGCCCCAGGGAGGATCTGCTAGGGGGTGCCATGGGGACAACCGGACTCCAGCACCTCGGGGGTCAGTCTCCACCCCCACAGCCTCCTGCACATGAGAGACCAGCTGTCAATTCTCACAATGTTCTAGCTCCCGAGGCCAGACGGGCCCATCTAACCTGAGCCCTGCCTGGCTCAGGCCAGAGCCCTGCCCGGCATTCACTGCTGGGTGAACTGGGGCAGATCTCTGAGCAAACCTCCAGTCTCGCACTGTTTGGGGTCTGTTCTGAAAGCCCCAGCTCCCAGAGTCCTGGGGTTCTGTGAGAAGGCGACTCTCCTCTTTGATTTTAACAAGCTATTCCTAGCCCTGGGGTTTGTGAAAAACAGTTTGAAAACTTGAAATGAGAGTGACCAAAAGACCCAGAAACCAGGCAAAGAAAGAAAGAAAGAGAAAGCCACAAATATATTTTTCTTAAAATATCTCACAATTTTTAAGCTGAACATGATCAGGGCTGCAAACGCTGCAGACCGGGATGTGAGTGACGTCCTCGGCACCCTAGGCCAGTCGTTCTCAAACTTATATGCCCACTCCCCCCTTCTTTGTATCTGTAGTAGTTTACATCCCCCCGCCCGCACGCACACACTAGTACACGCATCGATATGTGCGGTGATGGTGCTTCACTTGAATCCGTTTCAGCTTCTTTGTGCTTCACTTGAGATGGTTTTGTTGTTGTTGCCCAAATGAGCCAATGAGCCAGTGTAATAAGAGCAAAAGCAAAACTGCGGTTGTGGTCCATGCTTACAACAATTAACTGTGCACCCCGCCTCGGAGCAAACGGATTAACGTACAGATAGTAACGACTGCGTAAGGCTATGCAAGCTTAACAGAAACCCACCAAAATGCACCATGTCACCTAGAGTCTAATGCACCTGAGGACCTGACCTGTCTGGAGGAATCAGCGTTGCTAGTTATTCAGTGCTGGGGGTACAATGTGCGCAGTGCGTTGGTTTTTCCCTAAAAATTTTCAGCTTCTCCCCCCCAGAATACATTCCACACCCCCAGTTGACGAATCCCTGCCCTACGTCACTGTGGCACAAATTGGGGGGCACAAAGAAACTGTAAAAAGCAACAGAGGGTCCTGTGGCACCTTTAAGACTAACAGAAGTATTGGAGCATAAGCTGTCGTGGGTGAATGCCCACTTCGTCAGACGCATGCGCATTCACCCACGACAGCTTATGCTCCAATACTTCTGTTAGTCTTAAAGGTGCCACA